CTCCTCTATCCATTCTTTCTTCCTCTCCTCTCTCTCCATATCTCTCCTCAATGTCTTCTCTCTTTCTTCATCTCTGCTCTGTTGTCTCTTTTCTACTCTATCCATTCTTTCTTTTCCTTCCTCTCCTCTCTTTCTTCCTCTCCTTTCTATCCATTCTTCCTCTCCATATCTCTCCTCAATGTCTTCTCTCTTTCTTCATCTCTGCTCTCTCCTCTCTTTTCATCTCTCTCTCTCTCTTCTCTCTCTTTCTTCCTCTCCATATCTCTCCTCAATGTTTTCTCTTCTCTTCATCTCTGCTCTCTTCCTTAGTCTCCCCTCTATCCATTCTCTCTCTTTGTTCCTCTCTTCATCTCTCTCCATTCTTTCTCTTCCTCTATTCTTTCTTCCTCACTCTCCTCTCTTTCTTCCTCTCTCTCTTTGCTCATGCTCTTTTCCTTCCTCTCTCTCTTTCTTCCTCTCCTCTCTCTCCATATCTCTCCTCCTCTCTTTCTTCCTCTCTCTCTCTCTCTCTCTCTCTCTCTCTCTCTCTCTCTCTCTCTCTCACTTACTCCCTCTCTCTCTCTCACTTACTCCCTCTCTCTCTCTCCCAAATTCAAATAAACTTTATTGGCAGGACCAAATACATTTCAGCATTGCCAAAGCATATGGGGAGGCTTTTTGGGATTGGAGGGGTGGGGGGTAGTGGAACATTGTTAGTGTTAAAGAATGATATTAGGGGAATAGGTGAGTTCGGGGACATTATCAGGGGTAAGGGATAATATGAAGAGGGATTGGGGTGAGTCCATGTTGGGGATTTATAAGTGCAGGATATCGCATGTTTATCTCAGTCTGTGACATTCTGTGACGTATTGTGCAGATATTTTCACCGTCGGCTCCTCTTCTCCCAGTACAATGTGGAGTTTCCTCGTCTCTTCTATAGAGGTGAAGTCCGGGATGAGAGCGGAGAGTCTCTGGAAATGAGTGTCCCTCAGTGCTGAGTACTTGGGACACTGTAGGAGGAAGTGGACCTCATCTTCCAGGGCCCTGGGGTGAGTCCATGTTGGGGTCCAGGAATTCTCATGTTCCTCTCAGTTGGTGACATTCTGTGACAGATTGTGCAGATATTGTCACCGTGGGCTCCTCTTCTCCCGGTACAATGCGGAGTCTCCTCGTCTCTTCTATAGAGGTGAACTCCTTGATGAGAGTGGAGAGCCTCTGGAAGTGAGTGTCCCTCAGTGCTGAGTACTTGGGGCCCTGTAGCAGGAAGTGGGCCTCATCCTCTGGGGCCCCCTGGTCACACTGCTGGCACAGTCTGCTCTCCCTGGGCTTGTAGGTCTGTCTATGCCGCCCTGATTCCATTTCCAGGCTCTGGGCGCTCAGTCTGTACCGGCTCAGGATTTGCCTGCCTTTGGGGTCTTGTAGTGCCTCCAGGTGTAATAATCCAACCTACTTACCTACCTACCTACTATAGGTCTGCCCTTCCCCCTATATCCTCACAATGGAAGATTAATCCAACCTACTTACCTACCTACTTAGGGGTCCCCCATAACCGTACATTATACTGACTCTACACACCCTCTATACAGAGAACAGACTGTCCTTCTATCACTATTATTTAATTATAACAGCTTTGCTCCCCTCCCCCATACAGGCCTACTCTGATCATTGTGGTCGGGGTGCGTCGGTCGGTGTGGGGGGGGGGCAGAGCTCTGATCGCTGAGACCGGATCCTCTATTCACACACAGATCCGCTCTGTTGGAGTCCCCCCGATCCCTCCGCACACATCGCCCGTCCGATTCATGTCACCGCCCACCTGATACATCGCTCACCCGGGCTGCATGCGGACCATAATGCGATGCGTGTGATCCGAACAGGTGACCTCATACACGGATAGGCCCCACGATGCGATCCGCCACCGTGCCAATGAGAGCGGCGAAGGTGACGGGAGAGATGATCGGCTGCAGTAGTGCCAGAATTGTACCAGTCATTTCACGGGGCGCGCGACCCGGTCCGCTTGAAATGCTGACAGGCAGACCCGATCGGACTACGCGTGTGAAAGGGGCCTCTGAGACACGAACAGGTTGTCACCGACACGCAGGCAATCGGGGCTTGTACACCCCTCTAGAATGAATGGGGAAATATGATCGTTATCGGCCAAACTCCAATTCAGAGCCGATTGTATTCATAGAGTTTATATAAATCAGAAGGATCATTATTATTACCATACACAGTACAGATCTGATTGGACGATTGTTTGTAGCCTGCGGTTGGATTTAAAGGGCCGGTCTAAAAATGGAATGCAAAGAATATTTTTCTGCAGTTGGTGAAAATTTTGTAGTTCAGCGACCCCCCCACCCCTCTTTATTGGGTCACCTATTAGCGATAGAAGCTTCCGGATGGCTTATTAGAGCTCCTTCATACCAACGTGCACAGAACATGCGTTGGAATCAATCACGTGCGGTCACGAGCGGTGTGC